CTCTCTCCAGTGGGTTGATTTTTTTCTCTGAGTTTGACTGCCATTTTTTGCAAATCTCTCTTTAGTACTTGTTCAGCCAAGTTTTCCCATTCGGCTTGCGCTAAGTCACAACTTTGGAAGGTGTCTAGGATGTCCTTGGGCTTAGTGGAAAAATTAACATTCTTTAGTTTTCCGCTTTTCTGCTACATCCGGGGCGTTGAGATGGATTGTGACGTCTTCATTGTTCCCGCCTCCGCTTTTATCGGTTCCTTGTCTGCCTTCACAGTTTGTTTTCCACGCTTCTTGGAGAGTTTTCTTTTTCTTCTCTGATGTTTCAAAAACAACCTCTTCATGTGTTTTTGATCTGCTTGATGAGCCTGGTCCACCCTGGTTTGAATTTGCCCGTTTTATTGCTGAATTTATTCCTCCCCCAGCTTTTGTATTCTTAGACCTGAATATTATTGGAATTTGTTGAAACCTTTCATCGGGGAACAATGACTCTGCTTACTGTGACTGCAGCGGCAGCTCCTTGTCCGAGTCGCTCTCCTCCAACTTCTCTGACCAGCAGATTTTCTGGAGCTTCTGCCTTGGCTTCGCTGATGGACTCTTACACGAGCCGTGCATCGGTTCTCGTTGCAGTTGATTTTTTTTCTGCAATGTCCAATTTTAGGAAGGTTGATCCTCCGGATTTTTCACTTTAGACCCTGTTTGGGAAGCTATCTTTCCTTTTTACGGGTTTTGTCAACGCATGGCCAATTTTTCTGAGTTTGCTTTTACGAATTATCGTTTTTTTCAGTGAGAACCCTTTCTCTTTCTTTTTCCCAGGAGTAGATTGTCTCCTTTCAGAGATCTGGGTTGGATTGTCCTGTTGCATCCACAACCCGTCTGATGTCATTTTTCACGGCGTCTCTGCGTTCTTTATTCGATCTGGCGTTCGCCTCTAATAGGTTCCTTAGAACCATTGAACTTTCCCTGTCTTGTGCTGTCAGCAGTTGTGGTTTGTACATCGGGCGAAAATCGATCTGATCGAATTGATTCTGGAATGCCATGCGTATCAATCTATGTTCGCAAAACTTTTGCTGTTGTCTTTCCACTCGTTGGTTAAGTTTCTTTTACTGACAGAAATTTCGAGAATCTATCAATAGCAACTAGCAAGCATATATATTTTCCGTTATGGTTTTCTGTTTTTTGTTGACAAATAGTCAACGACTCCCATGTTTTTCCCTGGAATATGAACTATTTTGAGCTGATAGGGCAATAATCAAGGGATTGATACCTTTTGGTTTGATTTTTTTCTCACCTAGGGCTGATGTTATGGCTTTATGATTGGTCGCAATGATGAATTTTTTGCTAAGAGTGATTGTTTTTATTTCTGTCAACTGACCAAACAACCGCGAGAAGCTCAATTTTTTTTTTAAAATTGTATATTTAGGTATCTGGATGCAAAAAAATTTGGATTCCAATCCCCTTCGTTTGTTTGCTGTTTTAGAGTGGCACCCAGTTCGTTGTCGCTGGAATCAAACTTCAACCCTGTGTTTCTGTTTGTATCGTAATAATTTATTTTTGAGATATTAGCAACTGCGCTTTTGATGCCATCGAAAATGGTTGTATTTTTTGCCTCCACTCGAATTTCTTGATAAGACATTTCAATTTTTTTTTTTTTTTTTGGTTTTTTCCTTTAGGAGTGGCCGGAGTTTATCTGTAAAGCTTACTGCATTCGGAATAATTTTTGCTAGATAACCTATACTGCCAAGAAAAGATCCGAATTGTTTAAACTGAATATTTTCTATTTTAATGAACTTTGGTGTGACTATCGATTCTGATAGGTGATGGCGTAATCAACCCACCTCGTTTTTGAATAATTCACTCTTTGAAATGTTTAATGCCAAGTTCTCTTCATCTAAGATCAAAACTTTTTTTCATTACCTTATCATGTTTTAGTTCCTCGCCTCTCGATACAATGAGAATATCGTCCAAAAAAAAGTACTCTTTGCAGGGTTAAGCGTTCTGTCCATGGCTTTTTAGAATTCGGCCGGCATGTTTGTTAAGCCGTAAATGACAGTTAGAAATCTATAAGTTCCTGTAGCATTACCAACTACAATTTAAAATTGCACTGTCGAGCTGTATCTGCAGCCAATTTTAGTTGACTATAGGCTTTTTTTTAGATAGAGTACCGCGAACTATATCGTACCCTTTTTTGTGACAATTGGATTAAGTCCTTCGTTTTATTTATCGTTATTTGGCATTTGGGCATTTGGTACTTGTTTCTGAATAGTTGCTATTGACTGGCTTCGCATCTAAGGCCAATTTTGCTGAGTCATCTTTCTTGACTGTTAATACAGTTGGTGAACTGAAACAGTCACTAGTATACTTGCCCAGTTTCAAAAAATGATCTTCCGATAATAAATTATGTGTTTCCGCTAGTACCTTATCCTTTATATGGGTTGGTAGCACCCTCCCATTCTCTTGAATTGGGTAAAAGGGATATTTGAGTTATGAGCCCACAGAATGATTTTTTGAAATTATTTGTTTTTCAAACAATTTTTCAAATTGCGTTAGAAATTTGTTTTTCCAACCTTCAGACTAGTCGCAAAAAAGCACGTCAAAGCTTGAAAATTTCGTTGGTGCCGGTCTTTGGATGGTAGATTTGACCATTTGTCGCTGGAGGTCCAGACCCGTTATGCATCTAGTTCTGCATTCTGTGACTAGGAACGTTGCTCGCTTCACCTCCAAGCCTGCCGAACGTGGTTTGTCCCTAGAGCCCCTAGAATAGGGATCGGTTGTGTGTTGTAATATACGAATTGGGACGCCAGATTTATTTTTTCTTCCGGGAAAAACCTTGATATTTCCGACTTTTCTATTATTTCTTTTGTTGTTGGTCAGTTGAGGATTGGCACTGGACTTCCCGTGTCCACCGTTAGCTCTGTTAATTGATTCTCGATTTGGAGCATAGCGTTAAGTGACTTTACTTTGTTAGTTTTGGGTCTCTAAGTAGATCGCTTTTTTTAAATCGTTTTACCTCCAAATTCGTTATTTGGTTTGTTTCCTTTAATCTGACCTTGAAATGACACGAGATCTTTTCCGCCTTTGGTATAGTTGTATGTATCGACGTAATCTCGACTTCTTTGCATGACCCAAAATTTTCCACCCTTCTTCTGATTTGTCCGAATCTTCCGGTATTTCACTTACCTGTTGTGATCTACACAGTTTTACACATGTTTATTGCAGTTCTTGCAGATCTTTCCCACGGCTGGACAAGATTTCAGGTGTCCAGATTCAAATGTGCGACCACGCTTGTTACAGATTTCGATTTGTCCATCTGAGGTTGCAGATCTTTTGCTGTTTTGTTTTCTATTGTTCTCCCGTTTAAAAGGTTTTTTTTCTGTTACTCCATTTGAATTTCTGACTGCACATATTGGTCTTTGGTTTAATTTAATATCTAAATTGTAGGTTGTTGTTGTTCCCGCAGTCTCTGCCGCATTTTTTTCTGGAACACCATTGTGGTCAGGTTGCTATGTTCAAATTTTATAACCCATGTAAGGATTTCTTCCGTTGTGAGCGTTTCAAAAGTCAGCGTATCCTGGAGGGTCATGTTCTTCTTTTTTGAGATAAATAAGTCACGAACAATGTCGCCCTGCAAAGTTCCCAACTCAGATCTTGCTGCTTGTGCAGTCAAGGCCGCGTGAAATGCCTCTGGTGTCTCTCCCTGTACCTGCGTTTTCGTACAGAGTTTTTTTTTGTATGTTAAGCATTTTACTTTTCGAAATGAATCCGATGCTAGCTCGATGATTGCCTTGATTGAAATTTTGGATACTTCCGCGTGTGGGTTCTTTAGCAAAAACCTCTGTTTTCCTTCCGTTCCTAGGAAAAGGACTTTTCTGGATACCAGCTTCTTTTGCACTTCGTTGTAATGATTTTTGTGACAAATTCTCGGTCCTCGCGCTCTTCTCTCTTCGTTCTCGAGTACCACTCTGCCTCTGGCTAGTTTGTCTTTGAGATCTCTTGCTGCTATTTCAGTTGCGTCTTCCCCATCCCTCGGTTTTTCAGGTCTTAAGGGTGGTTTCTCCTGTATAACTTTGGGTCTTCACGTATAATCTCCGCGTTAAAACTTTCCTTGACCGTGACTGCCATTAGAAATTGCTCCACACTGGGTCTAGGTTTACTGATGCCCAACAAACTGGTATTCCCATATCAGTACAACCGTCATGAGTTGAGAGCCTTGCTGGCTGCGCCATGTGATATCCTATATGACTATCTTGAGATAAAAACGGATTTATATCTCCAAAGAATTAAAATGGTCTTTTAAATAAAAGTTTTTCTCTGTGAGAGCTGCTGATATCAATGTTGGTTCATTTTGGTCTGATTGATTCAGCCGTATACCGAAGGTTTGAACGTCAGTGACCTTGGACAATATAATAGGATTCAAATAAAAGATATATTCATCACTCAAGGTTACGTTGCGTTACTGCTGTTGCAGTTGCAGTATCACACTGATTTTGCGTGGAAAACGAAAATAACTGAAACACACCCAATTCAAAGTTCGTCCCATTTTTAATGGTTGGAACAAAAGTATTCAGCAAAGTTATGACTGCAACCGTAAGAAGATGATTCCAAAACTGCAAGTTTGCCTGTCGAAAACAATCTCTAAGAGCAAACAGTTCCTATCACTGAAAAGTGAGCAAATTTTTTTTAAGTAGGTCAAAGAGGTGCAAAAGAAGTGTAAAAAAAGACGTATCATGACAATATAAACAGTAGCGGGATCTGGAAGACCACAGCAAATTACATTTGTCCAATATAGGTTGGTAATTTTGTAGTTCGGGTAAAAAAGTAAAACTAAAAAGGTGGTGCATTATTTTTAGTGTGCTTTTTCTGAAAATTAGGCTCAATGTAAAAGTCGGCTATTTTAAAAACACAAACCATTAGATATTATTTAAGTTTGTTTTTGAAAACACCTCTAGAAAATTATGGTCTGAAAACAACAATACAAAATGACTATAGCTTAGCTTAAGTTTAATCGATCACAGAAAAGTCTCAACTAGTTGTCATTTTAGCTGATTTTATTCATAGATGGTAGCTGAACTTTTGTCTGTTCGATTCTACAATGGTAAGTTTTTAAGCCGTAACAATAAAATTTTATGCAAAGCAATAAACTTCTAACGTTTTTTTACAAAATGTTATGAATTTTAGAGCAGAAAAGCAAACATACAAAAGACCGTAATAGAGGAAGCTGAGGAAGGTGAATCATCACCAATGGGTCAAAAAAAGACAAACCAAAACTTCAAAGCAACTGCTACCCTCAAAGTTAATGCTAGTGAACACCAAAACCCAACAACGCAAGACGTCACGACTCCAAAGAGTGAGTTAGTTATAATTAGCGTGCAGTTCGGGAGCAGAAAACAACTTAAATCGTTCTTTAAACTAACAAAAAAGTTTTTAATACTGAACAGTTTTTTGAAATTTGTATGTTAGTTTTTCAGATAAAAAGAATAAATTGCAGTTTTCCTTTCCAGCTAAAAACCAATAGAACTTAAAATTTTTATTTTTTCGATCCCTCATAAAGTAAAAGCTTTTATTTTTTCAGCCCCGCCCGAGACAAATGCGCCAACAGTTCGGGTGAAAACAGCTTCGAGGAAAACATCAGCGCCTGTCAAGTCTATGACTGAACAGGAGAATGAAGTGAGGTTAGATTTGGCTGAGCGAAAAGTGTCAGTGCCAACCAAGCATATCATAGACGTGGAGAAGGAGAGAGAGGAGAATCTGCTCAAGTTGAACTCTGTCACCCTCGGTCCCAGAGTGAGAAGAGAGAACCGAAAGGTACACTGTTTCATTTTTCCAACTATTTTTTTAATCTGATCTGCTGCAGGGATGAACTTTAGTAAGGCGAGGTTGAAAATTAAGACGTGGTCAGAGTAACCTGGTTAGTATTATTTGATATCGCACCTTCTGATCAAGTGGGATAAATTTACATTGGCCGAGATAAATTTGAAAAATTTAGACTTGGCGATAGTGTAATTTGGCTAGAGTTTGACTGTTTATATTATGATTTTTTTTTTGAAATATTAGATGTGTTATTTTGATTAGCTCTTAACAAATGTTGGAGAGTATCTTCGGTAAAAAAAAAAATTCGGATTTGAACGATGTATTTTACCCAGGTTTATAGCGCGCTTTTTAACACAGAGTATTTTTGTTTGCTTGAGTTCAATAAAAATTGACAGTCAAGTGGTTTCAATGCGAAAAACATTTTATTCCTGTTCAATGGGTTGCTGTTGAACTCAATAATCAATGCAAAATTGAACTTGTTCGCTCAACTTTCTATTACAAACAATACAAATCAAACATTTTTGAAAACCTTTTTATTCATGAATTTTTCTGAGTGATTTTTTTTCGTGAATTTTTTTGAGGTAATAGTTTAGCAACTTCTTTGTAATTTTTGCCGTATAAAAATAGAATGGACCTTAGGAAATAAGACGACAAGCAAATTAGAAGATGAGATTATCACAACATTTAGACAATTACTTGCGTGCAAATTGCGTGCAATTTGGTAACAGATGTTATCCGTACGGATATGTTGTATATCCTTAGTAACGAACTTGTACTAAAACATTTAACCTTTAACTTGGTGTGATGGTAAACGTTTCATAATAACCCATACTTGATAACGACTATTTAACATAACTGTATTGATGTCTGATCTTATTAGATACTTATTAAAACTAATGCCATATTCAAAAACGATTTATAAGTTTCTGTTTCTCTCGTGATTTCGAGGCCAAATTCGAATCAGACATAATTTTAGCTGAATGAATTGAAGTTGACCAAAACTTTTCTTGAAACTTAACATCTTCTTGACCTTTCATGTCTCTCAACATAGACAATCTACCTTTACCGTTTCCGTGGGTATAACATGGCGCAGTCAGCAGTAACAAAAGACCCAATCGGAATCACCCTGTTCTGGCAAAAAGCCTCAGTGTAACCTCCGATCGAGTGGGAAAAGTGGAATCAGCAGTTAGTTCTTGGCATTATCGCAAAAGATGGTATCAATCTGCAAAAATTGTTAGGAGACCCACCTTTAATCAAAAAACCACAAGAACTCCAAATCGAGGGAGAAACACAAAGCCAAGCCAGAGATAGGAACATTCGTAACCAGGAAAAACGGGTCCAGTGGGAGAATCAATGCATTCAACTTGACAACTTAGAACCCAGAAAGGATTAAGGTATTAAGGCCGTGGGAAGAAGCCGGCATTAAGGTTTGTAGCTACATATACCCCTGTCTAGGGAATGGGAATCCACGCCAACTCAACCCACACTAGCCAGACCTTAAATTACAAGATACCCGACATTTTTGGACAAGACTAGAACACCTTTTCATCAAGGAATGCGACGTACCTTTCGACAGATACGAGGCGTTCACAGAAAACGGACCAATATCGAAACACTGAAACAATCCCATTGTGGCCTGATGGATTTAATGGTAAAAAAGAACTTTAAACGCCCCGATTATTACGACAGCTGTTTGGAACCAGAAATCATAAGGACTTATTCACCGCCAACATGTCAGACGACTAAGTGAAGAAAAACCTCCTGGCGGAGGTGAAAACACCCGGACAGGCATATGAAAACGCAATCCGCAGAGAAAAGGGACTCGAAAACCAACTGCAAGTCCGAAAGCAAGTGGCACCAGGATCATCTAACAACTAAACAGGTATAAAATCTGAACCAGTTGGTTTCATACAGCGGAGAGGAAACCAAAACAGGACGAACCAACAAGGCGGCAGATGCCGAACGCAACTACAAAGAGGCAATTCCTACGCCAGGGAGAAGCTCAGAAACAGTCAGGTTTCAAATTCAAATGCGGAAACCCGTTAAGCCCGGCCACCTTCAACAATGCGCGGCCAAGAATCAAATTTGCAATAGGTACACTAAAAGAGGCCACTATGCCAGACTCTGTATATCCTCCGAAGTTAACGCTATTCAAAAAGAGCAGATACCTGAACAAACATCACAAGAAACGAATATAGCAGCTTAAGTTAACTACCTGCAGGCAAAGGGACCTCAATTCAGGAAGGGAACTTATCCACCCGGATGTCACAACAACAAACGCTGCTCACTTCCGAACTCAACAGGCTGATCAAATAACGGAGGAGGATCTAAAAGGACACCTCATTCGAGTGCGTGCAGGTAGTAACTACCTAGTATTCATTGCCGATACAGGTTTCCCTACTTCGTTTGTCAACAACAAAACAGCTACCACTCTGCAACTCTCAGTCAAAAACGTGAAACGAATCCAACTAGGAGAAAAAGACGACGTAAAATGAATGGTGTGCTACAACGGTTACAAAATACCGTCATACGGAAGGAGCGTCAGCCCTATTGAATCCGGAGGCTGCACAGTGAACAACGCTTCACTAAGGTTGACGACAAGAGGACGAACATGTTGGGCCGCAACATTCTAGTCTTGATCGCAATCCACCTCCAGCAACAAAAACCTACTGGTGAGTAAATGAATTTTGTCTCGGATGATAGCCAATCAGATACCATCATAACTAACTGGGTAAAAACAACATATTCAGGACTAAGCACGCGCATTGGACGTGCAAAAAGCCATATGTTGCACACAAAATTTCTCACCGACTTTGAAGACCTCCAACAAAAGGGATGAAGGATTCCCATTCACATCCAAGAAAAAGTAGAGAACGAGATAAAATCCCCAAAATACCAAGACTATTTTGTGAAACTTGAAAACTGTAGCGATAAACAATTTATCAGTCCTATAGTTATAACTGTGAAAAAAGACCAAACTATAAAGCTAGCTATGGAATCCAAACAAATAAAGAAGGCTATCGGGGTGGCCTTAGAACAGGAAACACCAGACGGCTGGAGTTTTTTTGCGTACGCGTCTCGCTTTCTAAATACACGTGAAAGCAATTACTGTGTAAGCAAAATACAGATGCTAACGCGGTGTAGGCCATAAAACATTTTAAGAACTATCTGTACGGTCGCAGGTTCACCCTATTTATGGATCACCAAGCTCTTGTAAGTGCACGGCAAAGCAACAAAAATAACAAAACATATCGACTAACAAGATAGATAGACCGTCTTCTCCCCTTCGACTTTGACATCAACCATCTTTCCGATAGCAAAATGGATTTGAATGACTATATTTTACGCCATCTGGTCGTAAAACCCCAACATCCGGCATACTTTTGACTTAGCTCTTATGAGGTAAACATTTTGACTTAGCTCTTATCGACGATCTCATATCTTGCCTCAAAATTCAAAACAGCACTATGTCTAATATAAATATGAACTCGAATCCAATCGGATTCTTAGGCACACAAAAACTCGACTGAAATAAAAACGTTGCTTCTTCAAAATCGATTGCAACGCAAACTGTGTTCGCTGTGAAAAGTCCATGCCTCAAATCAAGCTGCAAAATTTGCTTTCATTTGAAATTTCCAGTTCTTAAAAATTCGATTCAACAAATTTTTCAAAATTGTCAAAAATACAACATGAACAGGCAGCTGCAAACGGGGATGACACTGCTGCCATTTAAACGTCTTTTTCGGGAAAACCATTGTGGCTCCCAATACTCGTTATCTTTTCCCCTCACAAACTTCGCCTGCTTCAAACACTCCCACATAAGGATCTTTCAACCAAGGAAGTTTCCCACCAACTGATTCCGTCGTAGTAAAATTTTACCTTCAGGCGCGTCACAAATGACAAAACAGATAAACTAATGCCAAACATCACAACCAGATCTAATCGACGCTGAATGCCAAATGATAACGATGGAAGAAGATATCCCGATCTACCGAAAGAGCTTTCGTAAATTCCTGGACATCGACTTTATCGCAGCCGCTACCAAAAGAGATCTGAACCTCCAATCACTGCTGAACATGATCCGCCAACAAAAATGGGACAACATAAAGGCCTGCTACGAACCATATTTCAACAATGTTAGGGACGAACTGTCAGTAAGTGACAACATTTTACTCTACAACGAACGAGTGGTTATCACAAAGCAGCTCCGACATATCATACAAGATTCGCTTCACTTAACACACCCAGGCCAGAGTGGTATGCTTGAGGTGGCCGAACATGTCTGGTACCCTTATTTGCACAGAAAAACTGTGGCAACAGCCTAAAACTGCCGAGAACGCCGAACAAAGGGTAAGAACCTTCGAATAATCTAAGTTAATTATCATTTTACCGCACTGGATGCAGTGATGGAACCTAATGAAGAAATCCAGTTGAATCTCGCAGGACCGTCACCCGATGAAAACAACAAAGATGTGTATATTCTAGTAAAGGTCTACCGTTTCTCACGTTTCCCGTCGGACAAAGTCGTTGCTAATAATAAGGCCAACACCATGATAAACTCATTGAAACACATACTGTAAGCCACGGCGTGCCACGAAACATTCGTTGCGACCAGGCACAAGGGCAAAAAAATTCATGACATAATGCAAAAAAAAACATCAAAATAATATTAGCACCAGTTGACGACCATCGTGCAATGGGCATGATCAAAAGACTAATTAGAACCCTAAAAACTAGATTGCTTGTCATGAAACTCGACAAAAATAACCAACCGTACAAACTTGCATCCGACGTGGCTGAACTAATCAAGACATAGCGCATTACACCACATGACAGAATCAAAAATACACCCTTTGAAGCCCACTATGTGCGTAAACCCAATACACCTCTAAGTAAAATTTTCACTCCACCTAAGGCGTCTAACCGCTCATGAAAAACACCAAATTTTGGTGTTTAGATGAAAAGAGGCTGGTTAAACCAGTGCTTACGCTAGA